TCCTTGTACATAACTTTCTAATTGAAAATCACGTTTCTGCTTCTTATGATCTTCCGACCCTAATCATCCCAGAAACGATATCCAAATGTCTCATCTCCATAGCCAATGAAATAACACCTCTTTGAATTAGCCTCAAGCTTACTTCGAGCATAAGGATTAATGAGAATATAAGAAAGACAACCAAAAGTCTTAAGGTTATAAAATTTTATCTCCTTCATACTCCAGACTTCTTCAGGTAATTCACAGTTTAATAGAATAGATGACCACCTATTGATCAAATAAACTGCAATACCCGTTTTTCCTCAGAAAGTAAGTGCTAGTCCGGCGTGCAATCTCATGCTTCTAGCCCGCTCATTAATGGTCATGTTCATGCGCTTTGCAACATCATTTTGATGTGGTGTCCCTAGAGTGGTCTTCTCCATTCTGATTCCCTGAGCTGCACAGTACTCCTTGAACCCACCATCAATATACTCACCACCATTATCAGACCTCAAACATTTCAGCTTTAAGCATGTCTCTGTCTCAACCATGGCCTTCCAAGTCGTGAATACACTGAATACATCGGATTTATACTTCAAGAAATAAACCCATACATTTCTGCTATGATCATTAATGAACGTAACGTAGTAACGAGAGCCTCCAAGAGATGCCACTAGAGAAGGTTCCCACACATCTGTGTGTACAAGATCCAGTTTTCCTGCCTTTGGCATCCTGCCACCTTTCAACAAACTGACTTTCCTCTGCTTCCACATAATGCAGCTCTCATAGATGCCAAGATCAACTGACTTCAGTTCTATTAGCTTACCTCTGGACTGAAGTTCTTTCATACTTCTCTGACTCATGTGACCAAGTCTGCAATGTCACAACTCTGTTGTGCTCTCTGCAACAGTAATATCAATACTGTTAATTAAACTAGTAGTCATACACAACATAACTATTTTATTACCCTCAGCCAGTACCAGTGCTCCTTTAGTAACATTCCAGGTGCTATCTGAGAACATTACTAAATGTCCACACTCATCAAGCTGTCCAACAGAAATAAGGTTCTTCTTTAGTTTAAGAATGTGTCTGACCTTTTGCAGAGTCCACTTGTTCTTGTTTGGAAGTGCAATGTCAATATCTCCCATTCCTACCACGTTCAGAGCTTCTCCATCTACCAGATATACTTTCCCAAAGTCACTTGCATTATAATTCCATATCAATTCCTGATGGAAAGTTGTATGGAAAGAAGCTCCTAAATCCAGTATCCAGACATCAACAGAACTATGAACTGCCAATAGTAGTGCATCATGTGTTTCTTCAGTTACCACATTGCACTGTCATTCTCCTTCTTCTTAGGATTCATGCAGTTCCTCCTTATGTGGCCAGTTTTGCCACAATTCCAGCAAGTTACTTGTTTACCAGGCTTTGACTTGCTTCTGCTTCTGTTCTTTGATTCTGATCTTCCCCTGTTTGAGTTTCTGTCATGTGATCTCTCTCTGGAATAAACATTTAATGTTGAACTTGAACCTGAGATCTCGCCAGAATCTTTCCTGCGCACCTCCCCAGCCAAAATCAAATCACGAATATCTTCATATTTCAATTTTGATTTACCTGCATAATTACTGACAACCATCCTCATAGCTTCTCAGCTTTTTGACAATAAAGCCAACAAGATCAGTGCACATATCTCATCATCAAATTCAATTTTCACACACGATAATTGATTTGTGATAGTATTGAAATTATTCAGGTGTTGTACAACAGACGTACCTTCCGCTCAAATTGAATAAATTCTTCATCAAATATACCTTGTTATTCACTGATGGCTTTTCATACATACCTGACAGGGTTGTCATAAGATCTGCAGTCGTCCTCTCCTTGACGACGTTATGTGCAATGGACCTCAATAGGGTCAATCGAATAACCCCCAGAACATGTTGATCCAACAGATTCCATTCAACTTCATCCATTCTTTCAGGTCTTTTCCCCAATAACGGAAGATTTAGTTTCTCAGAGGTAATCCTCTATCTGCATCATCCAGTAACCAAAATTCGTGTCATCGAACCTCTCAATCCCTGAAACCTTCACTTCATCCGTAGCCATTGACTCTGATACCAGTTGTTGTGGTATATATGAAATTTAAAACGATCAACGACGAAGTGAAAAAAAGAATGAGAAAATTCACACCAAAAGAACACAGATTTAAGTGGTTTGGCAAATTGCCTACATCCACGGAGTTACAGAGGATTTGATTAATTGAGGAAATTACACCAGTTGATCGTTTCCAATTACAAGAGCGAACTATTCCTTTCACTTATTCATTATTCTCTATCTACACCGAGATACACCGAAGAGCAAGAACACAGAAGAAGAAGAAATACGTACAAGAGAAAAAAAAACTTATTTCTCTTCTGCCGCAAGCCAACAAAAAGAAATCAATAAGAACAACTTCTTCTTCCACTATCTTCTTCTTCCTTCTGCCAAGCACACAAAAACAACTAAATAAAGAGCACATTGTGAAAACGTCTTTTTCTGCCTTTTGTTTTCCGTAAGCCTCAAGAAGAATCCAAGAGGGAATCTCCTTTCCCGTTTATGCAAATTGAAGGGGACGAAAGCTTTCCTTTTTCTGCAAACTGAAGGAGACGAACGTTCTGTTTTTGCGAGAGATGAGAGTTTGGTGAATTTTTAGGAGAGGCGGAGACGGGAGAACCGTTTCTGTGAACCAGATAGGAGCAGAAGGGAGTTTCACACGTAAGAAGACGGGGGAAGCTAAGAGCAGTTATATATATATATA